CGTAAAAAGTAAAAATCTTCCTCTGTTGTCGGAACTGTGATAGATTTGTGTGATTTTAATTTTAGGTGAAACGTAAGTCTGTTATAAAGGACTATTAAATGTACAGGAAATAATCTGCCATTGAGAATGATTACCCGGGGAATAATTGTCCTATAACAAAATTGATCTAGTCGAAGGATTTGGTTATGCTTACCTAACGTTAACAACCTATTAAGTTGAACGTCAATATCTGATGTCCACAAGAAATATTATATTAAACTACATATGAGACCTCACCTATCGAAAATGTACACAACCAATTCTGTAAAAATGTTCTTGGTGTATTTAGAAATAGTAAGCAATGTCGCCTGTAGAGCAGAATTAGGTAGACTTCCTTTAGATACAGATATTTGTATATAGATATACTAGTACATGTAGTTAAATTCTGGTTATGCTTGGTCCAAATGGACACAACCTCACACTCCCTTCAAACGGATGCTCTCTCTTACAGCAAAGCCTACAAATACCCGTAGACAAACTTTATTGCAACGTGTTAAAGACATACCAGTATTAGATCATAATGGATACTCCTCTTTGTGGCATTCTGATAACTCACATTGTGACCCTGAACATGTTGGGGAAATGCTGAGAAGGAGACTTACAGATATAACGTTACACATGTCTTCTACAGTTATAAAAGAGAAGTCAAACCCTTCAGACATAGTTTTAGACTTAGACGTAGCTATAATTTTAGACAACTACCTTTCATTATGTGGATTTTAGTTATTTTATATACTGTTCTTCAATGTTCTTTTATGTTTGTAACTGGCAATTAACCTCCGGGCATGAATTTGCAATAAACTTCTCAATTATTATATAGAGAAAGATATAGTACCTGTTCAAATGCAGCAGAGTTGAAGACTGTCGATGATACGTAGGGGAAGATGTTCTACACTAATTCAGAAAACTCCCTTACTGCTTACATCATTGACATCATGGGAGCTATAGCTATATGAGCTAGATAATGTTGCGTGGGAGTGGACAGGGATGTAAATCAGCATGTGTCTGCTCAGTTGTGAATCTGTACAATTTCCATAATGTCCCAAGGGTTTCCTGGAATTTCACTACGTAGGAATGTGGGCATAGATGTGTGTCAGCAAAATCCCAGACATGCCTGTAGACATTCCATTCCTGTGGGAAAAAATGCCTGTGCAATTCCTAGAATTCTTGCAAACTGCACACAATACTGTACTGTGAATGTGGGTATGATTGTAGGTATGTGAGGAAAGCAGACTGATTGTCGGCTGGAAAGAGAGATCACTTTGGCTTGGTTTGAGGCAGTCATCACAGGGAGGTACAGATTTGCGGCCTGAGTTCAGAGATTATAAGCCTGGTAACCAGTCTCAGCGGGTCAGCTTAGAGGTGTTTTCCGATCCCATCAGGGAAACACGGCGGTCTGTTTCACCACTACAAGGGCTAGTTTTCAGTTCTGTGTGGTTGTCCAAATGGGGACCTTCCACGTCCTTCTTACGGCCTGGCAATCCTTAGAAGGTAATACAACATCCAATGTATTTATGAATAAAAAGAGCCCTATAGGACACCTGTGTCGATCGTAAAAAGTAAAAATCTTCCTCTGTTGTCGGAACTGTGATAGATTTGTGTGATTTTAATTTTAGGTGAAACGTAAGTCTGTTATAAAGGACTATTAAATGTACAGGAAATAATCTGCCATTGAGAATGATTACCCGGGGAATAATTGTCCTATAACAAAATTGATCTAGTCGAAGGATTTGGTTATGCTTACCTAACGTTAACAACCTATCAAGTTGAACGTCAATATCTGATGTCCACAAGAAATATTATATTAAACTACATATGAGACCTCACCTATCGAAAATGTACACAACCAATTCTGTAAAAATGTTCTTGGTGTATTTAGAAATAGTAAGCAATGTCGCCTGTAGAGCAGAATTAGGTAGACTTCCTTTAGATACAGATATTTGTATATAGATATACTAGTAGTTAAATTCTGGTTATGCTTGGTCCAAATGGACACAACCTCACACTCCCTTCAAACGGATGCTCTCTCTTACAGCAAAGCCTACAAATACCCGTAGACAAACTTTATTGCAACGTGTTAAAGACATACCAGTATTAGATCATAATGGATACTCCTCTTTGTGGCATTCTGATAACTCACATTGTGACCCTGAACATGTTGGGGAAATGCTGAGAAGGAGACTTACAGATATAACGTTACACATGTCTTCTACAGTTATAAAAGAGAAGTCAAACCCTTCAGACATAGTTTTAGACTTAGACGTAGCTATAATTTTAGACAACTACCTTTCATTATGTGGATTTTAGTTATTTTATATACTGTTCTTCAATGTTCTTTTATGTTTGTAACTGGCAATTAACCTCCGGGCATGAATTTGCAATAAACTTCTCAATTATTATATAGAGAAAGATATAGTACCTGTTCAAATGCAGCAGAGTTGAAGACTGTCGATGATACGTAGGGGAAGATGTTCTACACTAATTCAGAAAACTCACTTACTGCTTACATCATTAACATCATGGGAGCTATAGCTATATGAGCTAGATAATGTTGCATGGGAGTGGACAGGGATGTAAATCAGCATGTGTCTGCTCAGTTGTGAATCTGTACAATTTTCACAATGTCCCAAGGGTTTCTTGGAAATTCACTACATAGGAATGTGGGCATAGATGTGTGTCAGCAAAATCCCAGACATGCCTGTAGACATTCCATTCCTGTGGAAAAAAAATGCCTGTGCAATTCCTAGAATTCTTGCAAACTGCACACAATACTGTACCATTAGGCTCCCCCCTGAGGCGTCGCCAAAAATAAAACCTGTGTGGTAAGTAGCCATGTGGTTTACTATCTAATGTCTCTAGACCACAGAATTTGTCAGGAACAAGTTGGTTGTGCATTTAACTGTCGGTCCAGCTCACTCTGATTTGCAGCCCCTCAGAAATGAGTTAAAAGCATTAGCCCAGCATCTAAGCGAGCCACACCATGAGCACATGTAGCCTGAGTGCCTACAACACTTACTGATAAGAGCAGCAGCAGTAAACCCTGGTGTGTAATACCTCAATCCATTCAGTCTCTTAAGATAAGACCATTTTGATTTCATTTTATGGATTAGATCTGCAGCATGAAAAAAGACTTTTCGACCGTAATGTAAATTGTTCAAATGAGCAAACATATGCCATAAATTGAAAAAAAAATGTTGGTAAACAATACTAATGTCTTAGAATGCCAAATCATTCCCAAAGGAAAAGAAGAAAATGAGAAGAAATGAAAATGAAGAGTCTATCATTTGTCCTACCATACTCTGTGTGTTTAGTCATTTTGTTCAACCTTCATGACCACGTACATGTAGATTTCATAATGAAGACAACTTTAAATATTTTTTTTACAAACTTTTTTTATTCACAATGCTAGCATCAGTTTTGGGGTTCTCAGAGCATATCAACCATAAAATCAAATCAACATGGCCTATATATACATGTATGAACCCTGGTACATGTATGCATGGACTGGTGCAGGTTGGGTACAGGTATTAGACATCAGAAATACCTGCACAGCTCCAATTTTACCTGCACTAACCTGCATATACCCAGTATATGGACCAGTGCAGGTAAGGTGCAGGTAGACATGAGAAATACCTGCACAGCTCCAATTTTACCTGCACTAACCTGCATATACCCAGTACATAGACCAGTGCAGGTAAGGTGCAGGTAGACATGAGAAATACCTGCACAGCTCCAATTTTACCTGTACTAACCTGCATATACAGGTGGTATTTTGAGCCATGGAAGCTTATGCATATTCATGCACTTCTACGTGGCCAAGTACTAGTATCGATTCACATCACAGCTAGTCTGGAAAGACATGCTTCTGCTAAAAGAGTCCCTTCTAATTTACCTGCCTCTTGACAATCCTCCCAAATTTAGACCCATAAAATCCAAGCACTTGCACAGTCCGGTCTTAAACTTGGAGCAGCCATTATAATCTATCACTGTCACTTAGGCAGTGTCCTAGCTAAGAGCTAATGATACGCCTTTGTCTGGGGAGGGGGGCATTATGGACTGTATTCATATCATGGGAAATCCCTGAAAACTCAATGTAGTCATGTACAGGACTATTCGCAATTTTTTCGCAGTACTTTTATATGCATGGTTTCCGCAGTCATCATGTCTGTACCATAAACTTATCATTACCGTGAACAAATAATTCGGCGACTTTCTTTTTACTGCAGCTGCCGCCTCTACAAACATATACTTCTGTGAACATGTCGGACTCCATTTTTCTGAGACCATGAAATTTTGCTACTGCGAATTTAAAGTTATTTACAGTACAATGTATATTTATGGTTGGCATCTGGAAATCAGTATGCACCCAGTGCACATGAAGAGGCAATAAAGATGCAGCAGAAGCAACTGCATCAAGGTTTTCCTTCATGTTAGGTATATACTGATGAAAGACTATTAGCAATATTTTCATTACACTGAAGAGCGACCTTTAAACCAATGATATCTTCATACATATATGTACACTGTATCATCATTATACAAATTAGTTCTGAACATGTGATCTGAGTAGACGTACTAAATAATGATTGTTACCAATCAGGAGTCCGAGGTAAACAATAAACATTACGAGGTAAACAATAAAAGTTCAAAGCTCCACACCTCAGGTAGTACGTACAACTTAGGCATCTGATCCAGGGAGAAGGTAAGAATTTTTTCACAACTGTAAATTATCTTTTTTGGTTAATTTCCAATCAAAATGATTGCTTAACAGTTAAAGATACTACTTATCTGTGGTAGCCAACTCTTATGTTAAAGAATATTGTAAAAAACAAGTTAGAACCTGGTGGGTCTTTGTTAAGAGTCAAAATAACAATGCATGAGGAGCTGATTTGCATGGCTCAAGTCCATCCAGGCCTCTTATTTTTATACATTCTTCTAGAATTGTCTTAAATTCTAATTGTGCACATGCAGGATCATCTACACACTTACAAAATGGGTGACAACAACAACACAGCAGAGATTTTGGGGTAAGTGTGTGGTACATTGTGCACAATTTGTTAAATTAACATTTTTCTCTGACGTTGGTTGTCAGTTTTATAGGAGGCTAAAATTGCATATATGTATTACTAAGATAAGCACATTTCTATAGGTGGCATGCCTATTTTCAGACTTGCAACCAAATTTATGGCAGTTATGGTTTTTTGAAAACTTTCTACAAATGTGAAACATAAGATCACAGTGCAAAATGCTACAAGGGATGTTGCTGTGGGCCTTTTTAATACATTTGTGTGGGTCTAAATTCCTTGGGAACAGGATGATTGTATGTATTTGGCCACAACGGACTTGTCTAATCATGAATTCTTGTTTATATCTAAAGGATAGCAGTTTTGGGTGGTCTTGCCATTTTGGGAAGTGCTGTAGCTATTGGTGTTGCTGCTGGAGCTTCAGTCACTGTCAGTCTTTCTGTAACAGTGGGTGGTGCCACTGTTACAACTTCGGCTGTGATAGGTAAAGGCAGCTAATTCTTTTTTGTTAAACAAGTTTTAGAGATACTCAAAGTGATGTTATATAGTTTTTGAGGATAAATACTTTAAGTATACTAAAAACCATGAAAAACATGATTACTAAGTGCAAAAGAAATTAAAACCATTCTATATCATCTACACTGGGTTCTAAACTTAAGAAAACTATGATTTGTGGATTCCAAAGTTCTAGCTGATGACACACAACAAGTGATGACCTTCAAAACAGGAATCTGATATGGCCATTAATTGGACACCCGCTCAGACAACACTTGTATAACTAGAAAAACCGACATTTGCTTGGGAGCAAATACAGCATATTTCAGTCCATCTCCCTCCCACGCAAAAGTGGACTATTCCAAACTTACAACAGTGCAAAACTGGCAAAGGTTCTCAAATAAATGAATTAAATAGTAGCTATGTAATTGAGAACAAAGATGCAAGAACAAGCACTTTGAATCTCGAAAGCTTTACTAATCTTATTACAGGTATGCAAAAACTAACAATGATGAGATTTGATACATTTTGAAGGTTTTAGGCACATAAAATTGAATGTGTGGGTCATTACGCACCACTTAGGTGCAATGTGACCTCAGGTAACCCGCAATGGAACACGTGTTCCATGGATGGAATCGGCCATTCTTTAGATAGAACATGGAACGGGTACAGCACTTTTGGCCCTTTTTTTGCTGAAAATAGCCATTAAAGTCCCCCAAATGAGTCATTTGGAAGTGGTGTATGCCAAATACATGACTGCTATTCTATAGACACACGTTCAAGGTACCCTTATACTGAATGTCATATCATTTGGTTGTAATACCAGGGCTCAGGATCCAAAAATCCATTTTTTGGCGAAAATTGCCCCAAAAAACCTTCATAAAAATGTTTCAAAGGCATGTATCAAAAAAATGAAAAAAACGTCTGGGGGTATTTGCCCACTCTACCTCCATGCCAAATTTCAGGTCATTTGGCTGAATGATGGCGGAGTTGAATCCCTTTGACTGTTTGGCAGGAGGAGGAGGAGAAGGAGGAGGAGGAGAAACATGAGGGAACACAATATATTTCATCCATACCATGGTATGGACTGAAATATAAAAAAGGACCTCTTTAATCACTTTCAGTGTGCATTCCTTAGCAGATGTTATATATCATTTTAAACTTGTCAATAAGAGTTAAGATTAGCAGTTTTTGGCCAAAATTGTCATTTGACCAGAACTACTGACAATTTGTCTCCATCAATTCCTAAAATCTAGACAAAAGCCTAAGACTTTTTACAAATACAGTTGAGACAACTTCATAGATCTCAGACAGATCTCAAATTCATTCTTACGATTAATCCAAAAGGGGAGAAGGAAACATGAATTTCACTTTTTTATTACCTCTATTTATTGATATTTTTCTTTCCCTTGAAGCATCTAATAAATAAGGACAAGTGAGGCATCATCTCACACCATGGCAACAGCAAAGGGCAACCTGAAACACATCAATTTGCCATGATGACCAGAAACCCTACACGGACAAGAATGGACTGACAATACAGCTTTGCTAGATGTTGCATGATTACATGTACAGTTAAGCTTTCAAACTACAGAACTCAACAAAAACTATAATGTTAATAGAATGCCATAATGTTTTTTCAAAGGGCTATCACTAATATCAAGACTTACATGAAGTCATTGCACATAGAAAAGTTTATCTTCTGTGATCTGATAACAGCCTGAATTAACTATGGTGTACCATCATCAAGAAAAGGTGTTCATGTACAATGTACATTGTACAAAGTGTAAGTTTAGTGTAAGCTCTCCTCAGTTTTGATTAAAAAAACTGTCTCTCTACTGCAGAATGTTATATTCTTGGGCTCTTTTGAGCAGAATATATCTAACCTTTAGATTGTATCTGTCAAATCAGAAGTCCCCAGTTGATATTGACTGTGAGCCTATAATACCTTGACCATGATCAACAAGCCAACAAGTGCAGAATAAAAATACAAGTGGTGAATAATGATAACAAGTGGTCAGCTATTAGAATAACTGACCACCTGTACAAAATGTATGTACCATTACATCATGGTGGGTATCTTTTTAAAAGCTAACTTTTGATTAACAAAAGCATCTAAGGAAGAATTGTAATGATTAATGTGTATGCTATATAATTATGATGTTAATGTCCTGCCTATTTTTTGGTATTCATCTTGTTGATCAAATTATGGCAGGTCAATTATATATCCACAGAATAAGCCCCAACATGAGCAAAGATCCTTTATGTCACCATAGCACCACATTATTAAGCCTTTACAATCTTTACCTTATTAAAAAAAAATGCTGCCTTTTCACTTTTACACTTAATTGTGTCTGACATTTCATCTTGAAATCCAATAGTGATTCTAATTTCTATACAGAGATTATCATTAAAGAGTCAAAAAATTTAGACGGTCTATCCAAGTGTATAATGTCCTTGGTCTATCTTACAAATGTATCTGATTTCAGTCGTAACATTAAGTAAAAAGAACATTTTCGGGGGGATGAAAATGAAACTTCCCTCATGCGGACTCCAATAATATGTATACCCTAATACCCCCACATAAGAAAAAGGTGTTAATATTGATGCTTCTCAAGAATGTTTTGAACATCTGGATATCTGAAGTGTGTACAATGGGTATCACTGATGTGATGTGTTTAGCTTTACATTCCCCTTTTTTAATGTGGCAGTCTTAGGGTAGCCATAATTATGAAATTTGACATTATATTGTTTCATTATGCTAGTAGCAAGCTTTGCATGCATTAAAAATTGAGGGTTCAACCTTCACAGATTGTCCTGTCTCATCACTTTTTACTTTAGATCTAGTTTAGAGAGCTGAAAGGATCACCTTTGAGTCACTTAACAACTTTAATTTAAATTTTAATTTTAATCTTAGGACATTAAAATGTCCTAATTTACTAATTACTGATACATGTTGCAGTATCTCTAATTCTGAAATTAGAAAAAGACAATTAGTTAGAAAAATGGTGTGCATATGCATGCATACATAGCTATTTTCCCCACAAGCTATCATTAACAAAGTCATTATACTTACAATATAAAGTTATACAAAGTTAGTCATCACTTCAGCTTTCATGAGTAGAATGTCAGACAAAGAAATGGCAGAAAAAAACTGTTTACAACTTACTAGTAACCTCTTTTCTACATGATTATTATCTTTGCCAGGCTGATATATCAATCATGTTAAAATTAAATGTTTAAATCTAACTAATTATTATCTTTGCCAAGCTGATATCAATCATGTTAAAATTAAATGTTAAATTCAAATCTAACTGATTATAATCTTTGCCAAGCTGATATCATTATCAATCATTAATTAACCTTCCTACTGTATGTGCGACAGAGAGGCACCAGCCTTGCTTTATACTAGCCTTGTCCCTAAACATAAAGAGATGTGGCGGGTGACACACCAGTCTAAATCCCTGCAAAAGAACACTGATCCCTGACTCCCATACTGACATACAGACATAGGAGAACTTTCCTACCAATAACGGTAGAACTTTGGAACAATCTTCCAGAGGCAATAACTCTGTTTAGATGTGAGATAAATTCCTTCTTATCACAAAACTTTCTGTCTTGCAAGTCCGGCTGCTGATCGCTGACATAGATGAGAAAAAAATCCACAATAATAAAAAAAATCTGTAAATAATTTCATCAGGTTGGTAAACGAATGAATAGCAAAGTTCTTTGGTCACAACCATTTATTTTTCACGAGCCAACGTTTCGATGACCGTCTATCATGTTCATCAGGGCAATTCTGACTGGTTTACTGTGCACTGACGCTAGATGTTAAAGGTGTTACCTAGTTCACAGTGCACTTAAGCTAGTTGTCTTCGTCAGAAGGACTATGAAATTGTCTCGCCGGAGTGTGGGGAACTGCGAATTTTGCGATATAACTCTGGAAGGCATGATTCGACGTCCATGATTTTTGGCAGGCAGATTACCGCTGTTGAGGCCGAAGTCAAGTACAAGTTTCGGCTTCGTGGGGGGTCCGTGCGTCACGTTAGTGCACCTTTTGTGTTTGTGGCTTGTTAGCAAGATAACTCAAGTATTTGTAAAATGTTGACTATAATTCTTGGTGTGGTGCTTACTATTGTCGGGACCAAGGTTAAGTTCGTTACTGAGCTTCGTGGGGGGTTTCGTTGTGACTACAGGGGGCATTTTGTTAATTTTTCTTGTGAGCGGGATAACTTTTGTATGTGTAGATGGAAGTTAATGAAATTTGTTAGGCATGTTACTGTGGTGGTCTCCAAGATTGAGTTCAAAGGTGAGAGTCGTGGAGGTCGTTATGTGCCCGTAATAGGACCTTTTGTGTTTAGAAATCCCCCACCTACATCTGCTTGGAGACAGCCGACAGCTGGATATAGCCGGGGAACCCCATAATGGGATGGGATCAAATGACGTTACATTGAGGGATTGTACTATAACTTCAGCAGGGGGAGGATAGGTTGGACATATGTCAGGTTATTTTCTACGGCCACACCAAGTAATTGCTATGGATGACGTCCACTGGAGACCTTAAATCTAATTACCTTAAATTTAAGGCAAGCGTGCAATAAAAACACGAAGGGCCGAAAAACGAGATGCCTAGATTTGGAATATACTAACTGTAGAAGTACAAATGTTAGGACACAAAGAACACAAGAAACAAGTCTTCTATTTGTCATAAAGACAAATTAACAAAACAGCAGTAGTCACCCTGTTCTGATTCTTTCCTTTATAACATCTTCTCTTATTATATTTTGCGGCGCTGTCGTGACACTTTCAACACAGTAAGAATTTCTTGAACGTAGGGGGGGGGGCTAACACGGGTGACGACGCATCTGTATAATCTGCGGCAAACCGTTTCAGGGTGTTCTTTTGTTCTTTAGACCAAATTGATTATTAAAAAGAGTGAAGAATACGCATGTTAATTTCTCTAGAACGATGTACCTCTGACGAAGACATGAGATCTCCGACCTCTAGTTAAAAAAAATGTTTTTGCATACAGTATCATTATCAATTACAGCATCATTATCAACTAAACAATAATTTTTGTCATCAGTGTATTGTATCAAAACAACTTGGCTTAGAAGCCAAGTTCCTTACGATGATAAAGTTTTACAAAGATCCCTTGATAAAAGGGTCAGACACATACCATCATTATCCATGATTAATGACAGTGTGAAGTCCTGTGTAGTACAGAGATATGAAGGCAGGCATGCTCCGTGTGATTAGGGGCTGACAGATGGGCTCTGGTGTGAAATTACCCCCTGTTGAAAAGCAATTCATCACTGTGGACTTGTCAGCATGGGTGGGACTGGGACACAGCCTGACTCCCATCACTTACTGACAAATGACAGCACTATGCCAGCCTGCTGTAGGTATCATAAGTATGTTTCCCTGTTGGAAACAATCTGAGGTGATTGGACCTGGTAGCCATATTGTTGATAAAATGAAATAAGCTCACAAAGGCATTTCATAAAGCAAAAAATTTCTATTGTGTTATCTAAAAAACCAAAATCAAACCCAAAAATTCTCAAGCAGATTCAACATAATTCCTGTATTTGCCATCTTGTACCAAAGGGCTTAAATTGCGAGGTAACACAATATCTAAAAGCTGAAGTACAGTTTGTATCTTTCAGTGATTTTTTATTTCATAATGCAAAATAAATCTACCCAATTTCTCATACATTGTCTAATTTGAAAATTGAAACCAATTAGCAACCTCCC